CTTCCTGAAGAGGCCAATTTGAATGCCAAGATTATGGTGCATTTATTCTTACATCTGCACCTGTGTCTATCAGACTTTCAATGACAATGCCATTTATTTGTAATTTTAATTTTGGCCTTTGTTCATTTATTGAAATTTGCCAAAATACCCACTTTATAGTTTTTCCTAAAGCTTTTGTTCTCTCTTCTGTAGCTTTTCTATCATCCAGAGCAGTATGGTTTCCTACAATAGGCATTAGGTTCTTTTTTTTATTAGAAATTTCCACCTCCTCCCCTCCTCCCATGTCCCTCCTCCTCCCCCCAGTCCCCCTCCCCTCCTCCTCCAGTCCAAAGAGCAGTCAGGGTTCCCTGCCCTGTGGGAATGTTAAGTGTTTCCATTGTGGCAAACAAGGTCACCTTAAAAGGGACTGTAAACAGAATGTTCCTAGAAAAAAATGTTTTTATTAAGCATAATCCAAACAGAACATCCCTCCTTTCTGAATTATGCAGAAGGTGTGGCAAAGGCAGATATTGTATTAATGAATGTATATCAACAAAAGGCATTCAAGGTAAACTCCATCAGTCCCAGTCCAGCTGGCCTTAGTGAGCTCCCATTAGATAAGCCCCACCGTCTCAGTGTCCTGACTTCCTTGCTCATGTTCTCCTTCCTCTGCTCCTCATTTGGAACTTGGGAGCTCAGTCCAGTGTTCCAATGTGGGTCTCTGTCTCTATCTCCATCCATTGCCAGATGAAGGTTATATGGTGATATGCAAGATATTCATCAGTGTGGCTATAGGATAAGGCCAGTTCAGGTGCCCTCTCCTCAGCTGCCCAAGGAACAAACTGGGGACATCTCCTTGGACACCTGGGAACCCCTCTAGAGTCAAGTCTCTCACCAACCCTAAAATGGCTCCCTTAATTAAGATATATACTTCCCTGCTCCCATATTTACCCTTCCTCCATCCCAACCATCCAATTCCCCCAAGCTTTCCCCATCCTCCCCTTCTCATTTCTCTCTCCCCATCTCCCCTTACCCTCATTCCATCCCCACCCCAAGCTCCCAATTTTCATTAGGTTCTTTAATTGCTCTGAGAAGGAGTTTCCTCCCTGATGACAAGAAGCAACTGAACCGGATTTAGCATAGGGACCTGCAAGAGGCCCGTTAAGGAGTTTTCCAACAGCAATGGTTTACCTTGAATGCCTTTTGTTGATATACATTCATTAATACAATATCTGCCTTTGCCACACCTTCTGCATAATTCAGAAAGGAGGGGTGTTCTGTTTGGATTATGCTTAATAAAAACATTTTTTTCTAGGAACATTCTGTTTACAGTCCCTTTTAAGGTGACCTTGTTTGCCACAATGGAAACACTTGACATTTTGATTTTTCCTCAAACTTCTGAAAATCACCTCTCCTATCCAAACATGATCATTGTCATTAGATTCAAATGATCCATTTCCTCCAGGGGCACTGATCTTGCCTTTAAAGGCCTAATTATCCTTTTGCATTGAGAATTAGAATTTTCAAAAGCCAGAGATTCAATTATTATTTGTCTAGCTTCTGAATTTGTTATTATTCTATTATACTACTTTCTTTGTAAGAAATCAGCGAAGGTTTCTCTTGGGCCCTGTGTGACCTTGGTAATCGACTCAATCTTCTTTTCTACTTCTTCAATTCTGTCCCCAGCATTCCAAGCTGCTGCACAGCATAAAGCCAGGATGTGGATGTGGCCATCATATAGGGATTGCTTTTCTTTAGCATAATCTCCAAGAAGTTGATCTTGGGGGATTTCCATACTTCTAGCTCTACTCTGTTCTTCAATGGTCTTAGCCTCATCTTTGAACCAGGTCCTCCATTGTAATTGTGGACCAGGCTTCAAGACTGCTATAGCCAAGTCTCTCTAGTCTTTAGGGATAATTCTATTACAGGTTGATCATGAGTTTAACATTTGTTTCTTCACAAATGGTAAATTCATGCTATATGAGATTATCACATTCTTGAATCTCCTTAAATCTGGCATTGCCACAGGAGTCCAATCAGCTCTTATAGAGCCTCTATCATTTGGCAATTCCTATAAAGTTCTGGATATAATGAGGTTGGTTGTTTGAAAACCTTAGGCTGGTCTTCTCTAATCTTATGATGCAATGCTGAAATTGGTTCTCTATTAAATTCCTCTGTCTTTGTTTGAATATCTTTATGATCTGTTTTATTAAGTTTTTTTAAGGCTCTTATCTTGGCACTCATACCAAACAATGTTATAAGAGATAAACCAAGAATTATCAAAACGACAATGAGGATTATCAAACTGATAATTAACAGTATGTCAATCCCAGTTAAGTTGATTATACCTTCATTTAATTGTTCTATTTTTAAGTCATGCATTGCATAATTATACATAGACATAACTTTCTTTGATGTAATTGTCTTTTCCATTTTTAAATATGGGAAAAACTCTTTTAACTAATTCCTTCCTTTAAGAATTCTAAATTTTCTGCAAATCTTCCAATGATGTTGATGGACATGTGACTGAGTGCTGCTGCTGCTGCATAGAACAGTGAAAGCCTGACTGGATTTCACGGCAGCTACGTAGTTTGGCAGCCAAGAAAAGGGTCCAGGGAAAGTCCACCAGGAGAGAGGAAATGAAAACCTAAGTAGCAGGATGGTGACTCTGGCCATGTAGAGCTCTGGCCTATCCTGGTGACTGCAAGGCCACAGGCAAGTGGCTTTTTTTTTTCTTGAATTTGTGCCCCCAAAGTTGTATGTCAGATGTAGCCCGAATTCTAATTGATATTAATAATGAAAACTCAGAGCCACATATAGGGGTTAATGCTTCAGATAGAGAAGCAGAGCAGCCAGCCACTAGAGAATTCTTTTACCTCCACCAATGCTTAGACCAAACTGGTGATCCTGTCCTCAGACTGCATCTCCAGACTCTATCGTTCTCCACCAAGCCTCACACTGCACTGAGCTCCTGTCTCCCCCTCTCTGCCCAGTCATATCACATTGGTTTCCACATCCCTAATTCTGGGATTAAAGGTGTGGGATCCCAAGTGCTGGGATCACCTTTATGTGAGCTCTGTTTCTCTTTTTGACAGATTCAATCTTGTGTGGTCCAGGCTAGCCTAAAACTAACAGGGATCCCTCTGCCTCTGTTTCCTGAGTCCTGGGATTAAAGGTGTGTGCCATCACTCCCTGGCCTCTAGTGGCTTAGCTCTGCACTCTGATCTTCAGGCAAGCTTTATTTGTTAAAACATAAATAAAATATCATTATACAGAATCCTTATAGCTTCTAGGGTCTCAAACTAGATAAGAGCCAAACAAGCTCCCTATGTTCACAAATAGGTATTTCTAGGTATGGTCTTTTGGAAGTTAGACCATTTCTGGGTTACTAAAGCAGTCCTATAGTGGTGATTATGAAAGTCTTCATAGGTGTACACAGTTACTAAGACACCAGTTCCAGCTCTATTTCTGTGAGGTAAATAAAGGGTTTGAGTTTTTCTCACTATTTATGATGGTGTCTGCAGGAAAAAGGGACATAATATTCCCACTTGGAACATCTTCCTCTCCTGCTCCATCTCTACTATTTGTCTCATAGAGGGATGTGACTGGCTCCTGGGCCAGTATTCCTATGTGCTAACCCAGAGCGAGAGAAATTTTCCCAGTCTCTAATGTGGTAAAAGAGTAGAGTTGTCTTTTTTTCTCTTGCCTTGCAGAGCAGACTCATTTTGAGGTACAACAATGTGAGAAGGTGCCATGTCTTGGTCCTTAGAGCTGACCCGGTGTCTCCCCTAGGAAAGAGGTCCATAGAGGTTGAGTTCACTGATGTATCCATGGCCACTCACTTGTGCAACATGCATGTCCCTCATTAGATATTTCCAGCAGAGATTGGGTAGCATACTGCCACCAAGGCTTGGATTACTGCTCCAGGAGAAGCCCTGTGTTATTGGTAGTCTATTATAGGCCAAGCACAGGGGTATATAGCTTCAGATGTTATCTTCAAGTCTTTACACACTGTTCTGTGTAGTCTGCTCCCATAGACCAGGTAGGGAAATGAAGGCTTAAATAAATCTGAACTCATGTCTGTGTGATTATAAGTTTATTACTTCTACATTCTCTTACATAGTTCATTCTTGTTCTAAAAGTGCAAAGTGGTACAGATTCCCTGTGTGTCAGCATCACCGCATAGGTTTTTACCATGACGGTAATGTGTTTCATGTACTCAGCACCCCAGACACGTTAGAAATATAAAGGTACCATGATGAGTGTGTGTGTGCTGAATTTGTATAAGATAGCTGGGATATCGGCTGAGAAGATAGAAAGGAAGGACAGAAAAAATGGTGTAACTGAAGGTTGGCAGGCACCTCTGAAAAGCCTTTCTCTGCCAGGACCCGCCATTGTAATCCCTTGGCAGTGCCCCAGCCCAGTCCCCAGAAGAGCAACAGATACCAGATTGTCTACCAACAAGTTTAAAATAGAAAATGGAGAGATCTTTGGCTGTATTAAATTTTAGGCATGTTAAATATTCACTCTTCTCCTGGCTGAGATGCTCGTGTGTCTTGGCTTTCATTGCTGACTACATACATCTCTTTCTGTGCTGGTGGGAAGGTCATGATTCCCATGTATGTGCTCATCTGTAACTGTTGTTAGCCTAAGTTCAGAAGCCACACCCTTCCTAGTGTAAGGCTGTGTGTACATAATTTCACATTCCCCCCATCCCCTTTAGCTTCTAGCATCCAAGGAGTCATGAGAAGTCCTTCTTATGGTTTTCCTTCAGAGTGTTGACTGGTCAGGATATGTGGGTACCCTCCCTTCCCTGAGGAGGCCTACCAGACCTCTTACCTCTCACCATGTAACTGATGTTTTCCCCTTATGTGGTATGATGGTTCCTGGGCTGTGCCTGGAGCTGCGCTTGCCTGGGCTGGTAGTCGTGGGGCACATCACTCTTCCTTGCTCTTTATGGGTGCCAGGCAGTTTTAGTAGGCCACAGGGTGAGGAAACTGACCATATGCTACTGTTTGCAGCTTCCTGCTTGGTGGACTTGGCGAGGCCCTGCTGGTTTTCTCAGAGCGGAGAAGTTCCTGATGGAGATGGTCAAGGAAAGGAAACACTCATCTGCTGCAGAAGAACACAGCACTCGGGCCTCCCTCTTAAGAAACATAGAAAGAACTCAGAGAGTGCAACCAAGCTGAACTTGGTGTTTGCTGATGACTCAAACACCCCACTTTCTCATTACCGAGGGGAGGATTTCACAGGGGACTCTGCACCGCTGCAGAGAAAGGACCCATCTTACATCTTCTCATGTAGGACCCAGTTCTGCAGAATCAGGAGGCAGGGGATCTCAATGGGACGGCCGTGTCGTCTGGATGGACACAGCCTCTGAACACCAGGACTTCCACCAAACACTGTCCTGAATTTGAGGTTACAGTCCCATGGAGTCTTATTGCATTTTTTTTTTTTTGTGTGGTGTTTTGTGTCTTTCCATTTTGGAGTCTCTTTCCCCCTTGATTTTTTCTGGTTTACCTGGAGCCCATGCCCACCCACAGAAAACAAGGCATGAATGCTCCTGAGAGTCATGTAGGGCAGGGCAGGGTTGGGGGCTGAGTAGCGTTCTGGACCAAGTGAGATACCAAGAAAGATCTTTAGACGGTGTTGTGAGTGGAGGGCTTTTGTGGTTGATGCAGATTTACTTCTGGTTTCTAAATTTCTTTTGGTTCTTGTGAATTTGTCAGAATGTGGTGAGTTCTGTAGAATCTGTTAGGTTAGGCTGGTGATTAAATCAATTACCTGAAGCCTTCTGAGTCCTGGGTGGCCCAGGTGGGTCTCCAGTGTCTTACCTGCTCTGTCTTCTGAGGGCTGAGACTGTAAGCATGCATTCCTATGCCTAGGTTTTGTTCCTTAAAGTTTTTTAAAATGCAATTCCTTCATATCACAGATGAGATCTCAAGGCATTGACCACTGGATTTTATCTCTCACACCAGATTGGAGTCAAGTCCCGCACCTTACTACTGAGGAGAAGCTATTTTACACAAAATAGTCGCTTGACTCTGAATCCACTAAGGCTTAAGAAAATAATGCTTCAATCTAGATATTTCTTCTCACTGATTTTAGAAATACTTTTTAGAGGATCAATAAAATTGTCATTTATTAGTTTTTTACAGTGTTCTCAAACTTTAGTGTACAACAGAATCATCCAGAAGATTCATTAAAACTTACATTGCTGACATTGATTCCAAGTTTTGGTTCTGACCAGGTTTGGTGGCACACACACCTTTAGTACCAGCTGTTGGGAAGCAGAGGCAGGAGGATTTCTGTGAATTTGCAGTCAGTCTTGTCTACACAGAAAATTCCAGGCCAGCCAAGGCTATAAAATGAGACCTTGTTTAAAATGAAACAAAACCAGATTTCTGATTCTGATCCTGATTTTTTAAAAAAAAAATTATTGTTTTTATTGAGCTATATGTTTTTCTCTACTCCCTTCTTTTCTTCCCCATCTCCTTCTGCCCTCTCCCCTTATCCTCATGCTCCCAGTTTACTCAGGAGATCTTGATTTTTTTCTACTTCCCATGTAGATCAGATGATTTTTTACAGATACTTGATTCTGGCAAGTGTCAGAGAGTTTGGGTCATACTGAAGTCACTTTGCCAGCCCTGGAGTGTAGGAGACCCCACCCCCTGGGGCTCTGAAAACCTACTCCTTGTCCCAGGCTCAGTTCCAGGAAGAGTGAAGCCAACTCCATTATCACTGAATGTTTTTTCCAGTTTGTTGGAAAACAAGAAAATGAAACAATAGGATGAATTTATGTATTCAGGATGTGAGGATCTTTAGTTCATCTTGTTCGGGTCTTAGCTTATCACTTAAGGTGAAAATGTCCCAAGACTTGATGCTTATGTGGTTTGCAATTCACTTTCCTAAGAGTATTTTTTAGATTTATTTATTCTGTTGTTGTATGTGTGCTGTGTACCATGTGTATGCCTAAAGTAGTGTCACACACAGTAGTGAGCTGCCATGTGTGACCCGTGTGCTGTGCGAGCACAACAAGTGCCCTTAACCGCTGAGCCAACACTCAAGGCCTACAACCTGCTTTTAAAATACAATTTTATTTTAAATTATGTATGTAATGGATTAAGTAAAAATGCTACAGGTTCCTTAGTGACTGCAGCAGGCACCTGGTCCTGAGAACAGCCAGTCCCAGGCAGGACAGCCCAGTTCTCCAAGCAGGCCTCTGAAGGCACTGGTCCCGGGCAGGAAGCCATGCGGCAAGGCGAGACACAGAGACATGGATAGGCATGCCATGCAGAGCGAAGTTGGATATTTATTTAGTGGGTTATGGAGGGGAAAAGGAGGGGGGAAGAGCAGAGAGAGAGAGAGAGAGAGAGAGAGAGAGAGAGAGAGAGAGAGGAGAATGGGGAGAGACAGAAGGGGGAGGGAAATGGAAAAAGAAGAGACTCAGGCTGCAAGCAGGAAGGAAGATCTGCCTGCCTCAGTGGACAGGGGAGGAAGTGGGCATGGCTTGTCTCTTAAAGGGACAGGACAGATCATTACAATAAGTGTGTGCACAGTGAGTGCAGGTGCCCCAAAGAGGCTGGAAGAGAATATCCATCCAAGGCAGATGGAATTACAGGAAGGTGTGAGCTGCTTGACGTGGGTGCTGGGAGACAGACTTTTGCCCTCTGCATGAGTGTCACATGCTCTTACCTGCTGAGCATGTTTCCAGTCTAGAACTCATTTCTGCTCTTCATCTAGTGTAGCAACTAGTAAGTATGTAGCAATATCATGTACATCAAATGGAGAATCTGGGCTTAGAATTTTCCTCATTTTAATTCCCCTAAAATTTTCTGCCTGCCACCTCTACCCCCAGTTTGCAAACGGTGGCTGTCCAAACATCATCCTATGCCCGTCCTTCTAAATGTCAGCTAAGCGGTTGGAGAGTCCTCAGCTCCAACCATAAAGCACTCAGCCTCAGCCCCATCTCTAGTTGGGTGTATTAAAACCCTCACTGAAACCACATTCCGGAGTCCCATTGTGTCTTCTTCCTTGAATATGTTTGTACTGTGATGACAGAGAGAGACAGAGGACCAGTTGCTCCTTCAGCACACCGACCCCCAGCTTCCATCTGTGTAGCCCCATTCTCATGCTCAGTGACCCAGGTGGGGCTCCCCTACACTACATTACCCCTAGAGCTCTACTGCGGCTGTCTGGCCCAGGGCTCCGCGGTATCCACAGTCCTTATGTCATCATGCCTATTTAGTTCTTAATCCTTACCAGCTTTATTTGTTTGTTTGTTTATTGAGGCAGGGTCTCTGCTATGTAGCCATGGTTGTTCTGCTGGAGGTCCAGGCCAGGCTAGCCTTGAACTAAGCTTCTGCCTCCCCAGTACTGGAAATAAAGGGCACACTATCATTCCTGACTCCAGCTCCATTGAAAAGCAGTGTGGATTTTCTTTGAATTGTACCAATAAAGAATATGCTTTCTTTTGAGAAAGGCAAGATTCTGTGTGGTTGTGTATTAAACTGCACTAATATGGCTATAAAGAAAAATAAACCACTTATTTTCTTGATAATTTGCCTATTTTTTTTCCTTTTTTTTAAAAAAAATCAACAGGGGACAACTGTAGAAATGATTGATGGTGTCCCTGGGAGCTGAGTTCTTAGGGTTGTTGCTGCTGCACCTTGTTTTTAAACAGGTCTCCTACTGTAGCTCAGATTGGCCCTGAAGTCAAGCCTGTCTTCTTGTCTCAGACTGCTGGATGCAAATGACTTGAGCTCCAGCTTAGGCCCTTCCACCACTTTCAGGGCCTCGTGGATGACTAACTCCAGTGAAGGGATACAATGGACAACTGACTTGGTTCAGGTCCCTCAAGGGTTCAAAAACTCCCCAACCATCTTTGACGAAGGGAATACTGGAGGACACACTCACAGTCACTCTCCTGCAGTAGGTGGATGACCTCCTGACAGCAGCAGACACTGAAGAATACTGCAAGGTAAGCACTGGTTATTTGCTTACTGCCTTGGGAACGCTGGGGTACTGGGCATCAGCTAAAAAGGTCCAAATCTGTCAAACTAAAGTGACTTATCTGGAGTGTATACTCAAGGGAGGGCAGTGTTGGCTGCTGTGATCTGAGTATAGCGATGGGGAAATGATAAATCGTGTGTGTGTGTGTGTGTGTGTGTGTGTGTGTGTGTGTCTGTCTGTCTGTCTGTCTATCAGGCTTCAGGGCAAACATGTGTTATGTGCCTGCTCTTCCCAACACTGACAAGACTTCTTGTCCTAGCCTGAACAGGAAATCTCCACAAGGCCAGCTGCTACTGTAGCGCGAATTCTCTACTAATGCTCAGACCAAAGGGGCAATCCTGTCCTCAGACTGCTGCCTCACTCAGACCACACTGCTCCTGTCTCCTCCCACCTTATATTCCTCTCTCTGCTCAGCCATATTACTCCTCCCTAGTGCTGGCATTAAAGGTATGGGAATCCCAAGTGCTGGGATCACCTTTATGTGAGCTCTGTTTTTCTTTTTGATTCAATCTTGGGTGGTCCAGTGTAGCCTAAAACTAACAGAGATCCCTCTGCCTCTATTTCCTGAGTCCTGGGATTGAAGGTGTGCACCATCACTCCCTGGCCTCTAGTGGCTTAACTTTGTACTCTGATATTCAGGCAAGCTTTATTTTGTTAAAACACAAAATATCACATTTTCCTTTTTTGTCTAAAATTAAAAGAGAGGCTATAACTATTATAAGAAAAACTATATACAATAAACATAATAATTATATACAATAAATGCATCAACAATGTCTAGTTCATTTGCATTTGATAAATTCGGAGAAAGTGTTCCATTATCTGTCCTATGTTGATGAGTCCATAGTCTTATACCTAATTCACTTTCTATTCTAACTTGCATTATCACCTCAAAATTATCTTTTTATGTCTCTCAACCTTATATACTTTACATTTCTTTAATAAATTTCTTTTCTGAGTCTCGTAAACAAGGAAAACTATAACTATCTAGTCTTCAACTCCATGAGAGACCCAAAAAGGAAATAATATTAACTGAATAAGCAGAAAGTATAAGCAAGTAACTTCTAAAAAAATGTGAGAAATGACAGAAACAGCTTATTGCCTGGACAGTCATTCCACTGCATTGTTGGGGCATCCATCTTCAGACTACAGGACTAGGATATTCGACAGAGTTTTTCATGAAGTAGGATTTCTGAAAGACTGTCCTATCTTATCTTGGCAAGGTTTGGTAGCCACTGCTTGTGCCCTGCTTGCCCCAATTAGAACAGCATAATGTCAAAGCAATGACATTTTATTGCCCAGTGGCATACTTTTGCCACAAAGAAAATAAATTCATGTGGAATTTCTTTAATGCTCATCATTGTCTCTGTAGTAGATTGGTACTATCAGGAGCAGAAAATGTCTCATTGTCATAAACAATTATGTTATTAAAACATCTTAAATGCCGTATTCTGTAGATCTCTTAAGTTTTTGAAGATGATCTGTCTATTTAATATATTTCTCTGTTTGACCTTGAAAGCAAACCCAATGTGACTACAAGTTTGATTATAATAGGTGACTAATTACTAGCCTGCATTTCATTATCATCCTAAACAGTTGATAATAATAACTTTCAAGAACTAGACATTTGCATTACATTGTTAGTTGAGCTGTATAGGTATAATACCTTGAACAAGAATAGAAATGTATGTACAATATGTTTTAACAAAATTAATCTCAAATTTGTATCATATGCAAAATTTATTTACAGGATACAAAATACAATGTAAAATATTTAAAACTAGTAGTTGCTTTTTTAAAAATAGATTAAATAATCTACCTTTTTATCTTATCATATCTATATCCTCCCTTTTTTCTTTTCAGAGTCGATTCAATAATCTAACCTTTTATCCTATCATATCTGTATCCCCTTTTTTTCCTTTTCAAAACAAGAACCCTGAATCTAATCTCCCTTGTTTAGCTTTTTTCCTGATCATTACCAATAGCAACTTGTAACCAATCCCCTTAAATAATGAAAAATATCCATAACCCAATGAAAGACCAAAAACTATCCATCCTGCCCTTTGGGAATGTGGGTGTTATATTCTTAATTTACTTCCTGCTGTCTGGGGGTGATGACATCTTCTTAATTTTACTTCCTACTGTCCGGGGGTGATGGCATATTTAGAGAATCTTGAAAAAAAATTTGAGTTAATTGTCAAGTCCTGGAAGAAGCAGCTATATCATTTGTTGTCCAGTCTCTGAGAAATAGGAAAGTTCAGAGCTTGTCTCAAGTCCTGGCTAGAGTAGTTTGTGAGACTGTATTATTTCAGCTAGTTATAAATTTTGAGATAATACTTATACTTTAAGAAAAGCTGTTAAAGAGTCAAAATGAAACCAAAAGGATTATGAGATTAGTGGCAATAATAGTCCCTTAATTTTGGTTTTTCTTCTGTTTCATATCAGGTAGTTCTG